GAAGGAAGCAGAGGGCTCGGATAAGGGCAGGTTACCCGAACACTGACCGGAGCAGTCAAGATGCAGTGGTTGAGTTCAAAGCGCAACCTTCGGGTCAGTAAGTTCGCGCCTTGACGAATGAACTTCCTCGAGCTTTGCATTCCCCGCTGAAGCCTAACCAATAGGATTGTGGAGAAGGCTCACCCACCATACACTACTGGACATCACATGCAATAGTACAGGCGCCTATTGGGGAGATGTAACCGAGTATATGTTGAATGCAAGCTCACACGCTATCCATTTAAAAATATGAACAAAGTTCGTCAAAACCTACCGTGGGAAGAAACGATGTCTCCAAAAGGTCCGTTGGAACGCTGTTGGCGGCTGAAAAAATCAAGCCCACAATCCGTGGAATAACAGACAAAAACAACAGAAGCCAATAGGAAAACAGTGTTTCCGAACGTGGTTGGTGGCAACGGCGTTGACGTTCCGTCAGAATGAGTGTGGCCAACTGCAAACGGAGAAGGAGAACAAGCACAAGCTAATCTCACATTCCAAAGGAAGAAATACAATGAACCAATGGACAAAATCCAACTGGGTATGGTTGTGAGAACCAAAGTCATTTGTACTGATAGCAACTTCAGAATCCCACAATCGTGTAGTTCAGCCAAATATGATACCCATTCAGCTGTGACACTTTCGGTGTCTGGCTGCCACGCCACCAGAAGGGAGCACGACGGCTGAGATACTGTGGGGTTGCCCAAGCCCAGACAGGAGCAGTCCAGATGCCGGGGTTGGGTTTGAACCATGGATCTTCCGGGCAGTAGGTACACGGCTTAACCACTAAGCTATCACGAGCACTCGTAGACAGAGATTTTGGTGCTCGTAAGTATGCTAGTATTCCTTAAGGAATGGTTGGGAATAAAGCTCCATAGTTCAACACGTAGGGGAAAGACAGGATCGCGTCCAGAAGTTCTGAGCAAGATTTGATATGCCGATTTGTCAAGTTCTCGATGGGTAAATTAGAGGATACACTGTCGAGGAAGGACAGCATTCTAACCCACCCAACCGCGCACAGATAATGTCATCTTCATTGGTGACGAAATGTTTGCAACCTAATCGCCAAGCTCGGCGAATAGATCAACGGTCACCTGTTCAACCACCAATCCTGAAGTCATGCTTCGATAGTCCGCGTGTCAGAAGTACAGTGCCACAGGCAGAATAGTGGCAAGGATCGCTACAGAAAGGAGAACATGTAGAACTGTTTGACAAAACACTGTCACCGGGACCACAGAAGTATGCCTTCTACGTGATCATTCCAAGACAGGTCGTAGGACAACTCAATTCCAAGATATTCAATGCGCTTTACGTGCATCGAGGGGCAAATAGAAATTGTGTCTTGGAACAGTAGCGGTTGTAAGTCATGCAGTAGTGGGCCAAGCTGAAGTGTAAAACTAATCTAGTCTGATTTTGATTTGAGAAGGGAAGCATGGGGACCAAGAGGAAGTATCATGAATGTTGTGTTGGAACAGCTAGGACAATGCGGCTACAGAACCGGCCCTACCAATTGCAATATCGCCGGTATGTTTTTTTTACATTTGAGTCATCAGGATGCAAGAGGTTTGCGTAAGATGTACAGAAAACGTGAGAGATCGCCTCCTGAGACACAACGCACTTGCTTACAATAGTGATTAACTTCTGTCGCCAACATGTGTACAGTATTTAGTCAGTGAAATAAGTGATTAAAAGTGACAGAACGGGCCTCTACGTGTCAGGCTTTTGAAGCTCCCTGAGATGACAGGTGAGAACATAAAGTTTGGTGGCACAATGCTTTAAGACTCAGGCAGACAAATATTGTCAAGTTCCGCTGGTTCTATTTTCGGAAAGATGTTTCAGTTCGCTGCACATGTGACTGATAGATAAAGTGGTGATGTGGCGCAATGTATCTGAACCGCAAAACGTTACTATTTTTGGTAACAAACGAGCGATTTGGTAGACCGATATCAACGAGAAAGTTTTCTGTTTTCTGGCCCAAGGGGTTTTTTAACGCCTAACCTTCGGAGAAAATAGACGGGGACTGGTGCTTGGACGGAACACACGGAGCTGCAGTGAAAATAGGACCACACGAAGTAAGGGAGAACGAATTGGAAAAGGTGTTGTGTAATGGATCAGGGAAGGTTCAGTCTGGACAACCTACACGGCCGTGTGCTATTTCCATAACCTCCGAAAAGAAGGAATAGCACCCAGAAGTTGAAATCACGAAGGCGACGCTGCGATGATTTGGGGAGCATCAGTGGATACAAAGTGCACAGCAGATTCCTAAACACAGTGAAAGGCTACTCACTTTGAACAAGATGGCGCGTTCATATAAACCTAATGCCTGATGAAACTGTGGTCTTCACGCCGTAATATATGTTGACTGATTTGGCTACCGCAGTGAAGTCGGGGGTGGACGTCCCAGAAGCCGAGAATTGCCGTCCTTCGCCCTCATTAAAACGCTCTCAAGAAGTCTCCTCTGGGGAAATCCTACTCACTTCTCCCCAGTATCGGAGGGGGAGGAGGACGTCGAGCTTTATGGCCGTGCTGGCAGCCCATTGTTTGTTCATCTTGGGAAGTCGGTTAAGGACTGACTGTACACCGGCAGTGGTGATCAGCTAAATGTGTATGTAGATCCCGGCCGTAAAGTCTGTGTCTGCAGCGTGTCACTGTGCGCTGCATTAGATAGATTTGTTTTGTAATTTCTTGCCACCGATCACAGTGGTTCATAATATGCTAATCACGAAATCCAGGAAGTCGATTCATCGCAAAACAGACTACCGATCTCAAGTAATTAATTTGCTGGAGTAGCCAGTTCATAAGCAGGGATAAAATACCACGTGCATGTTAAACAATAAAGAATGGAAGGCGAAAGTCGTTGAGAAATGGTAAGAAGTACAAGTTCTGAGAAGCTTGATAAAAAGTGCAACAGAACGACGTGCTCCAATTACTGAGAATAAAGGGCATTTCAGTTTCTGGTGGACCAGTTAGCTCTCCACTTAGATCCCTCTGACCGTAGCATAGTTCCGCAACCGCATAAAATGTCACGTAATGTACGCTGGCACATTTGTGGGCAAACTATCAGGGCGTGAGTGGGCTCGTTTTGACTCCTGGAGTCTTATTTTCAGAGGCGGGAACAACAATCAGCTGTATCGTTCACAGTACAAGAACACCTTGGAAGTCAGGACCGAAAAGCTCAAATCAGTCAGCTATGGCACAATTTCAGTGAATAGCTAACATAAAATCCGAAGGAAGCACGAGGGCTGAGAAGCTCCAACTTTGCCCAGGTCTAAACGAAGGGCCCTCTATCGTAAATTCATCGCTTCATCATCTCGAGCAGTTCGAGGGGTATCAGATTCTGCTGACCCATTCGCATGAGCAACTAAGCCAAAGAGCTAACTCGACCACCTCCTTTATGTTGAAGGGGGAAAAATCGAGAGTCTGAGTACACGAATCATGCGACAATTCCTACTGAACGTTGGAGTTTCCAAGAAGTATACTAACAACGGAGATTCTAACGTTTGTGACCGAGTATCTAAACGACGAGCACACAAGCTGAAGATGGTGACTCAGGAGAGCGGGCATCGGACTGTTGGCGTAAAGGTCATCACGTATTAATGCAAGCAAATCCTATGGATAATGCAACATGTTTATTCCATCTTTTTTCACTTGCGGCGAGATGGACCAAGTGATCAGAGTGCGAATTTACTGACCGGAAGGTCCGAGGTTCGAACCCGACCTCTGCCTCTCGACTTTTCCTGTCTAGTCTTGGGCAACCTGGCAGTATCCCAACCCTCGTGCTTCCTTGTGGTGGCATGCAGTTAGGCACCGAAAGGGTGCTACAGCTGAATGATTTGTTTATTTATTATTTTCACTTGTGTGAGCAGGGTACCCCTCCGGTGTTGGGCGAAATGTTGTCACACAGGTGATGTCTAAAGCGGTAAAATTAGCTCATTCAAATCAACCTCATGGCCTTAGACAAGATGTCTGTAGTGTCCTACTGCAATGAACGGACAGACTTACCAGCGAAAGGATATCTAAGGACAGGGCAATATACCGCAAAGGATCAATCGTCCCACGTCGCCGCCAAATATCTTCCAGTAATATCGAACACAAGGCAACAGCTGCTCCTAGTAGACAGCACAAAGCCAATAGCTAAGAGGAATCGAAAAGCTCTGGAAAGCACAACATACCAGTTGAAGAAGCTGCTGTGACTGAAATTTGATTTTGGTAACGGGCAGTTGCTTTCGCCTGTGTTGCAACCAGAACAAATAGGACCCAGCCACCAGCAGGAAAACCGACGGTATGGTCAAACAGGTAAATTGAAAGCATTCTGAGGGTTTGAGTGCGCTCCCAATTCGGCCGAATTTTGTGAAATTCTGACGAAACATACTAATTCCAAGTGTCTCGGTACTTACCAGAAATCCGTCAAAGCAAAGGATCACAGATACATTTTGACTGTAGACTGTAGAGCCCTCCATGAGGCAAAACTGCTTTCAGAATGAGTACCGTAGCAGGCGAAGTATGACCTAGGAATCACAAAAAATATTACGATACATGGGCGTAAAATAGTTTGCTTCGCGGGGTTCCTTTGAAGTATGGGGATCTCAAAAAATTAGGGTGGGGGAGGAAGGGTATCCGATGGGGCTAAATCTACAAGCACAACAAAGATTATGCTCCAAGGATGCTGGGAACACAAGTAATTCAAGAAAGACGGATTTGTGTCATCCCTTACAGCAACGCGGAAATTTCTTCATCTAGGAGGCAGAAATTTTGGCCTGAGTGAATTGACCAGGAGCTCCATCGAGCAGTGTGTTACAGCTTTAAAAGATCAGGTAACAATCCTTATCCCCCTGAAGCTGAGGTCCTCACTATACCAAATGCATGAGAAAATTTTATAACCGGATTATCAACAATGTGTGTAGAGAGGTAATTCTTTTAACGAAGCAGGTGGAAATTTTGGTGCCTTTTTCACTACGAGTTGCGAAATTACAAGTAAGGACGCAATGAGTGCGATCAAAAAGTATGATGGTAGTGTCGCAACGAGGTCGTCAGACTTTCGTTACCGAATCATTCTTCAGAGTATCCGTATTCTTGGAGATCTGTGGACAAAAGAGTGGGAACAAAGCCGGTGCATTTCGAATGACAAACTACGCTTGGCTCTTATCTATCGGGCGATACTGTCTCCCCGAATGACAACGCGAGCTGCTTGTCATATGAAAGTGACCGTCCAGGGGACTGCAGAAACATCATTGACAGCAACGCCATATGAGAACACTGGTGTCCCACTGCCAGGCAACTATGCCAATTCATCTCAATAAAACCCCATAATAAAAAGAAAACGTGACACAGAAGGGGACCTGAGGCTAGCCAACGACAAACAGACGCGCCGCTGACACCTCCAACACTGTCAGATAATTTGCACAGAAAGTGACAGCATGAACGCCATTTGATTCGTCATCTCCAGTCAAACACAGGAAGGTCAACTAGGACCAGTCCTAGAATCTGAACAGCGTAAACAGCATCCAAACTCCACGTAACATCTGTGATTCCCTTCTATCATGTCAATTTCTGTCCACTTACAGGTTTCCGCCATTCCGAACTAGGCATGGAAAGTGGGAGAGAGGGAACCTAAGACAAGCCTTACCAAGCTCTACCCGAAGTATGTGGTGGTGAGAATAAGACATCCACAAAGCCGCCTAAATTTTAGAATATTTTCGTAGCTCGGACTATAAACCAGTTCCGACCGTGAATCAAGTAGTTGGGCACCAGGTAGACAGACATCGTTATTATGGTGGCTGTGCAAAGTGCGTTTGTTCGTAGTCTGTCTTCCAACGATAGTGAAGGTTTTCGCATTTTAGCACTTGCATACCGACATCCCAAACTGGTGTAATATTCGCCTCAGTAGCTGAATCTGCAAATGATGTGTCAGTTCGCAAAGACGGCAAATCAGGGAGGGCACGGTTACTGTGACGTGACAGATTCACGAAGCTTAGTAGGGAGGCCTTGGAAGCAGTGTTTTTCTTGTTTCGTAAGATGAGGTTTATCGAAGAGTGGTACAATCGGCATCGATGTCGAAAGTGCAAGCAATCCAGTAGACGAAAAAACAATCAAAGTGGGTCCCACAGGAACGTATCGACTCTGGTCTCAAGCTCGAGACAATTCATCGACCAAGGTGCGCAACTTCTGACCAGGAGATTCATGATGCAAACCTAACCTGCCTTTCCGATTACCCGTCAGGCTTGGATGTCTCAGTCCTGGTATCTACTTCAGATTTCAAGGCAGCTATGCACCGAAAGGGTGCCAAGGCTGAACCGTTTTTAATATTACTGAAAAGTTGTAGAGTGTAATAAGACAAAGAGTTTCAGTGTGATCTTTGATGAAAGAAGGAATAGGCGACTGGTGTGACAGACTGGCGCAATAACTTGGTAGGGGGTAGTGAAATAACACATTCGAGTGTTCTCGGAGGGAAGCAGTTGATGACATTTCTGGGGGTCATCTGCCATGAAAGTAACGACAAAATAAGAAACGGTTGCTACATCCCGATGACGTGAAACAGGTTGGGGTGTTGGTAAAGGACGAGGTATCAAAGAGGCGAGTGACCTTTAGTTGGAGACACCATTGGAATGTGAGTGAAGGTGGCTCATCCAGAGCAAAGATTCTAGACTAAAGCGAATGTAAAGTCTAAGGAGAAAAAGAATCTGGGGGAGAAAAAGAAACCGGCCCTCACAGATGCAGCTAAAACGATCAGTCCGACATCAATGAGCGTAAAAATATCGCCGACGAAGCCCAAAATTGAATAACCAAGGAAGAACAAGGAGCGCATTTTCGTTTTGCGGACGACAACCCAGCAGTTCGGGGGGGGGGGAGATGTCCGGAGTTCTGTGGAACTATGAAGGGTTATTGAAGGGCAGTATTAGCGACGTCTCAGATTATTTTGTCGAAATTATGGTTCTTAGAGCTGATCGTCTGTACACAACCGTTTAGAATCCGAAATGAGACGGAACGCTAGGGGAGAGAGAGAAAGAGCATGGAGTGGTAGACATCAGCATCATAAGTAAAAGTGTGAATACTGAGGTAAGACATCAATAATGGATATTCTGTGTGTGGCAAGAACTGAATTAGGGTGAGAAAAGAGCATTGAGGGACGAATAAGTTGATGCTAAGAGCCGCGGAAACAAACCTCCAATGTGTATATGAACTGAACGGTCGCTCAAAACACTTGCAGTGTAGTCGACGGTTCCGGAATTTAAATCACACACTGGCGGCTTAGATCGGCGTACTATACCTAACTGAAAGCTTTTGAAATGTCAAATGACATTACTTGAGTCCAACCAAACTTATCAGATGCGGAGGAACAGAAATGTGACATAGACCATCAGCTTCCTCGCATGAAGTTGCACTAATGATCACACTCTAGGTCGCATTTGACGGGCAAGCATTACAGAATTTCGGATAAAATTGGAGTCGTAGGAACTGGTTATCACTGAAGCAGGAACAACGTACAAGAATGGAAGGAACAGTAGACAGATCAAAAATTATACGGCCAACTCGTAAGCATGCTTCTGGGCCGGGGATTTAGGAAATATCAAAATAAGGGCTTTGGAATGTGGCAACGAAGGAAAAGCAACGGGTTGATGAATACAAGAGTCCTGTGAAAAAATGATCCACGAAGTCAGCTTTTTCTTGAGAGAAGAGGGATGAGAACACCATGGCATCCGAAGCTGCGAAAATTACGACTGCCGTTTTCGTCCAGGATCCAGAGGGAACGGCTTTCGACAGGAATATTTGCTAGTTGGTTTCTAAACTACGGACTGATCTTCTCAAGCAATAAATAATAATAACCATTCAGCTGTAACACTCTTCCGACGTCTAGCTGCTATGCCCACGGAAGGAGGCACAAAGGCTCGGATACTGCTAGGGTGT